TTCCTCATAGAGGAAGCTTTGTGAGCAAAGGTTTCTACTTGCACACTTGAAAACTATAAGGAAACAATGTGCAGGTTTCTACTTGCACACTTAAAAACTATGAGTAAGCAATGTGCAAGTTTCTACTTGCACACTTAAAAACTATGAAAAAGCAATGAGCAAGTTTATACTTGCACATTAAAAAACTATAAGAAAGCAATGTGCAAGTTTCCACTTGCACACTTAAAAACTATGAGAAAGCAATGTGCAAGTTTCTACTTGCACACTTAAAAACTTTGAGAAAGCAATGTGCAGGTTTCTACTTGCACACTTAAAAATAAATAAGGAAGCAATGTGCAGGTTTCTACTTGCACACTTAAAAATAATTTGCATACTTAAAAATTATGACAAAGTAATGTGCAAGTTCCTACTTGCACACTTAAAAACTTTGAGAAAGCAATGTGCAGGTTTCTACTTGCACACTTAAGAACTATGAGGAAGCAATGTGCAAGTTTCTACTTGCACACTTAAAAACTATGAGTAAGCAATGTGCAAGTTTCTACTTGCACTCTTAAAAACTTAAAGGAAACAATGTGCAGGTTTCTACTTGCACACTTAAAAACTATGAGGAAGCAATGTGCAAGTTTCTACTTGCACACTTATTTTTAATAATATCTTGGAAAATATTTATATTATTATTTACAAATTTTTAAATATCAACCTTCCTTCTATATAAGAATACATGCTGAGTAGTTAAGCTACGTTTGTTCTAACCATGGGGCAATGAGGGGGGGTAAGAGGCGGGGGAGAACCGCGAGCGGGGGGGCCGCGGGGGGGGCCGCGAGGGAGAGAACCGCGCGTTTCGGGCGCCGCGGGGGAGGGGGAGGGGGGGACCGTGTGTTTCGGGCGCCGCGGGGGAGGGGGAGGGGGAAAACCGCATGTTTCGGGCGCCGCGGGGAAGGGGGAGGGGGGAACCGCGTGTTTCGGGCACCGCGGGGGAAGGGAAGGGGGGAACCGCGTTTTCCAGCGCCGCGGGGCGTGGGGGTCCGCGTTTTTCGGCGCCGCGGGGCGAGGGGGTCCGCGTTTTCCGGCGCTGCGGGGCGACCGCGTTTTCGCCGCGCCGCGGGGCGAGGGGGTCCGCGTTTTTGCCGCGCCGCGGAGCGTTCGCGTTTTCGGGTGCCACGGGGCGAGGGGGTCCGCGATCACGTTTATATTGTAAAAAAATTGCTTACCATCGCTGGATACCACCTCCCGGCTCTCAGTCACCTTCCGCACTGTGTGTCACACAACATTGATTGTCTTTTTATTGTTACATTTATTGTTATACTTATTGTTAGTCTCTTAGCAGTATAGGTTTCTTAATTTTAGATAATATACACTTAAAATATTTTTAAAAATACTGCAGTCTAAACAGTCGATATTTACACGAAAACACACATAGGACACATATTACATGTTGAAATGAGATATAGTGGCCCCCCACACGATGAAAAAAAGAGGCCGTTCATCAGAATATACCGCCTGGTGTCATGTTTACGACAAGCATACAGCATCAAGAATAATCCACCGATTCTCACAATGCATGACGCACAAAACTTTGTCTGTCCTGGAGTAAAGTAAAAATACGTGCAGCACATCCTTGTAAGAGGATTTAACGCATTGACTTCAGCCTGATTCATGACTCTGAATATTTCTTCCGAAACATCCTCAGACATTTCACTATCATAACATGAATCGTCTGACAATACTGCATCATCATCATCATCAACTTCCATTCCTTCCTCTTCATTTACTTCCATTTCTCCAGGCACTTCTATTTCTTCTTCGTTTGCTTCAACTTCCATTCTTTCTTTTCCTTCAAAGTGCAATTCTTCGAAATCCATTTTTTCCACACTTGCCCCCACTACTTTTAAATCTAATGTTTTAAATGTTTTAAATGTCTTAAGATGGCGAACGAATTGTATAAGTCGCACAAACAAGCACGCCAACCGACTGCTCTTACTTCTAGTCCTCGACTACAGAGCGTACCATCAAATGCATCCTTCTACATCTCACTATTGTCACATCGTTTGTTTATCATATCTAATTTCATCATAATCTCAGCATCCATACAATTGCACCTTCCGAAAAATCTGCGATGTGCAGTTTTGCACGTGTGCAATGAAGTCACCGCGAGACACATATGTTCTCGAAAACGATAACGCGCCATTGACTTTCGGTAATTTGATCTGTAAAACTGCTATTGAACCGCGATCAAACAGCTATCAAACAGCTATTAAACCGCTATTGAACAGCTATCAAACAGCTAAAAACAGCTATCAAACAGCTATTGAATCGCTATAAAACAGCAAAAAACAGCTAAAAACAGCTACCAAACAGCTCTTGAACAGCTATGAAACAGCAAAAAAACAGCTATCAAACAGCTATTGAACCGCTATGAAACAGCTAAAAACAGCTAAAAACAGCTAAAAACAGCTATCAAACAGCTATTGAACTGCTATGAAACAGCTAAAAACAGCTATCAAACAGCTCTTGAACCGCTATGAAACAGCTAAAAATAGCTAAAAACAGCTATCAAACAGCTATGAAACAGCTAAAAACAGCTAAAAACAGCTATCAAACAGCTATTAAACCGCTATGAAACAGCTAAAAACAGCTATCAAACAACTAAAACAGCTCTTGAACAGCTAAAAACAGCTATCAAACAGCTCTTGAACAGCTATCAAACAACTAAAACAGCTATCTATATAACAGCGATCTGTATAACTGCTATTGAACCGCTGTCAAACTTCTTTTAAACAACTAAAAAAACAGCTTTTAAACAGCTATCAAACAACTAAAACAGTTATCTGTATAACTGCGATCTGTATAACTGCTATTGAACCGCTATCAAACTTCTTTTAAACAGCTAAAAACAGCTCTTGAACAGCTAAAACATCTATATTATACTACAAAGTATGTGGAAAAAGGAAATAAAACGTTTATATATACATATATAGTTTATTTCAAAAATCATAATTTTTTCTGGTGTCGCGACCACCAGTTAAATATTTTTAATACATTTTGTAATGCGCTGGGTGAGAGATGATCACGTTCGCGTTTTCAGGCGCCGCGCCGCGGGGGGAGGGGCGACCGCGTTCGCGTTTTCTCCGCGCCGCGGGGTCCACGTGACGTCACATGCTCCCGCTCGCGTTATCTCTCCTTCGCGCGCGGTCTCTCGCTCCCGGCCCCCCCCCCTCGCCCCCCCCCTCCCCGTTCGCGCGCGTCTTCTTGTTCGCGCGGTCTCTCTCCCCCGTTCGCGCGTTCTCGCTCACGATCGCGTATCTTTTCTTCGCCAACGATATTTAATCGTTTAGATCTTCGCGATATTTAATTTTAATATTACATTTAAGTAAACGATAAACGAAGACAGCTTAACGACAAGGAACGGTAAATGAAAAGGAAATTTTTTTAACCATATTATATACTTATTTATTTCTCATGTAGCGCAATATACACAACAGTATCTAAAGCGTAGGCTAATAATTCGCAATCAATAATCGAATTTTTATCATAAACTTCACGCAAGATTTTAACTGCATTACATTTATCGATGATACAATTTTGGCGTAAAATTGTCACAAACTGTTTGGATTTTTCATTTATACGCCATGAACATTTTGACATAGTTGAAAATACACATTTTCAACACAATGTTCTACTTCAAACAGAAAGAGTACGGTTGACGGTTTCGTGTACAAGCTGGTGTCGCACGATGTCAATTTTACAATATCTGCGTCGCGTATTTTAACGAGTTCCAAATCTCGAAACGCTAGCGATGATGGTGCCGGCGACTGCACGAGTCGCTGAATCCCTGCACGTTTTTTGATGAATGTCACCCACGTTGCATGAGGCAGAATTATCCGATTGCCTCGGTTATCGCCAATAAGTATATCCACAGAGGACATAGGTCCAGCGTTGATTCCAACATCCAAAAATTTATATGCGGTCGATGTCAAGGCAAATCTCTTTCCCAAAATACGAGGTGTGTAGCGGGGTTTATCAAAACTGAAAAAATACAATTATGTTTATAAAAGTTTTTTTTTGCACAAGTATATACGAAAATTAGCGGTACTTACTCATTGTGCTGTTTCTCACACGTTTCGTCCTGAATCGGAACGTAGTAGTTCGCACCGTGAGTGTTCATCGTATCTGGAGGCTGTTTATTGCAACGTACTCGAACCGTATCGAACTCTCGACTGCGCGCTAATATTCGCCCAAGGTAGCGATTTGGTTGGATCCTTCAACCAGGTCGCGTTCCGTTTCATTGAGATGTTCCATGTTTTTTATACTGTCTTTTTTCACACACTATTTTTAAATCACGCCACAACTAAGGATAATAATTCAACTAAGGATATATTATATTTTCAAAATGCGCATTGAACATATAACGAGTAAGCTTGAGCAGCTTTTAGCGCTCAGTATAAATATTACAGACTTCTATGATGTTTTCATTGGAATAGGACTATTAAATACTTCTAATCAGCACATTCAAACGCAACTTTCGGAACTAAAAGGGATTTGGAATCAATTTCATCTTGTTCATACCGCAGTAACAATATCAATACCGAAACTTTCAGTTGAGGAACAACGCGAAATCCAAAATCACTTTTACTTTAAAGAAAGTGTTTACGATACAACCAAAGAGGTTTATTTAAATTCGTTCGAAAGATTTACTTCATTGTTAGAACATGCTCAAAGTGCTACCACAGAGGTTTCGTCAATTCAGTCAACTTCTGTGCCATCAACGTCAAATCAGTCAGCTTTGGTGCCAACAACGTCAAATCAGTTAGCTTCTGTTCCCTCAACGGTGCATCATTCAACTGCTGTTTCAGCTACGTCAAATCAATCAGTGTCTCTTCCTAGTGCTGGGTTTAATTATCTTCAAAATGCAAAGTTGCCTTGTATAAAAATTCCCCATTTTAATGGTAATTCTGATAAATGGCTTGCGTTTAAAAATCTCTCACTCAATGATAGTGACAAGCCAAACGTTGTCTGCGGTTGAAAAATTGCAGTATTTGAAAACTCATTTGGAGGGCACAGCGTTCAATTTGGTTCAGCATACAGCGTTAACTGCGGAGAATTTCCAAAAGACATGGGATGCTCTCGTAGAATTCTATGAGAACACGCGATTATTAATAAATTCTACGCTTCAATCCTTATTCAATCTGAAACGAGTTAACAAAGAATCAGGCTCAGAACTGCAGCAACTGTATTCAGATATCATGCAATTGTATCGGACCTTTGAAACGTTAGGATGTCCAGTCGCTCATTGGGACCATATTTTGATTTTTATTTGCACTCAAAAGCTAGATTTAGAATCAAATAAAGTGTGGGAATCACAATTGGGTTCCAGTAGAAAACCTCCTTCATGGAAACAGTTTTATGATTTTTTATTTGCCCGAATGTCTTCATTACAGTCCTTTGAGAGCTCTCAGCAAAAGCAAATTTTGCAATCAACAAAACAATTCTCAGCAAAGGTTCATCATCAAGGTAAATCAAACGATAAAGGCACCTGTATTTTGTGTAAAGAAAAACATTTCATATCCTTTTGCCCTCGATACGCTTCGAAGACGATACAGCAAAAATTAACATTTATATCCACACACAAGCTTTGTTATAATTGCTTAGGATCTCATCGCGTTGGTTACTGTAGAGTCACTAAACGGTGCCAGAAGTGCGGTCTCAAACATTACACTTCAATTCATTCAAACGAGTCCTCCCAATTCAAAGGAAAGGAGAATAATAATAATAATACAAAACAGGAATCATTAGAGGAGAACCTTACACTCCTATCGCTCAAGCCACAAGGCTAGGTTGGATTGTTTCCGGGGTGACAAGTCCTAGTACAACCAATCCTAGAGTTCAAGGTTATCATGTGTCCATCACTGATGACATTCACGACCTGCTTAAACGATTTTGGGAGACTGAAGAAATTTCGATTAATGCTAAGACGTTAACTAAAGACGAACAAGACTGTGAAGACCATTTTAAAGCTACTCATTCTCGGGACGCTACCGGGAGATACATTGTAAAATTTCCTTTTAAAGATTCACCAGACAAACTTGGAAATTCAAAATCAAAAACTATTCGAGTAATGACTAACTTACGTCACAGATTTTCTAATAATGAATCTCACGCTAAATTGTACGAACATTTTATTAAAGAATATGAAGATTTAAATCACATGAAAAGGGTACAAAATTCACAAGATGAACCGGAGAAAGTTAATTATCTGCCGCATCACGGAGTTTACCGAGAACAATCTTTTAGTACAAAGTTAAGAGTAGTCTTTAACGCGTCAAGTAAAACTACGACTGGGTACTCTATCAATGAACTTCTCCATCCGGGAGCAAAATTACAAGTTAATTTGTTTAACGTTTTTACATGGTTTAGATCATTTCGATACGTTTTCTTTGCTGACATCGAGAAGATGTACAGACAAATACGGATACATCCCGATGACTGGAATTATCAAAGAATTGTTTGGATAGATCATCTAGGAAGAATTATTATATTTATTCTGTTAACCGTAACGTATGGGTTTATATGCGCACCGTTCTTAGCTTTACGATCGTTCGAACAATTGATCCTCGACGAAGGACATAAATTTCCTCTCGCACTTCCAACTATGAAAAATGGAAGGTATGTCGACAATTTTTTCGGAGGAGAGGACACTATTCAGCAAACATGTAAGGTTGTTGAGCAGGTGGATAGGCTTTGTATGGCGGGCGGCTTCCCTTTGAAAAAATGGGTTAGCAATGAACAATTGGTTCTTCGTTCCATTTCATCAGAAAATAGAATTGATACATCATCTGTCCAAATAGACGAATCCTCCATGATACATACACTTGGCCTATCATGGAATCCTTCAATCGATCAATTTAAATTCACTTTAAATCTTGAGGAGCCTAAGGTAATTTCGAAACGTACTATACTTTCAACAATTTCAAAGATTTTCGATCCGTTAGGATTCATTTCACCCATTACTATCACCGGAAGAATTATTGTTCAGGAACTGTGGTCAAGTGGACTTGGTTGGGATGAGAGACTCCCTCCCATTCTGCTGAATAAATGGCAGCAGTTTTTATTGCAGTTACGCGAAGCCTCGAGCTTTACCTTTCCAAGGTGGATCGGGTTAAATTCAGTCGACTCCTTTGAAGTGCATAGATTCAGTGATGCATCTCAGAATGCAATAGCAGCAGTTGTTTATTTGCGATCGTGTTCTACTAATAGTTTGATTACCATTACCTTGGTAGCTTCAAAGACAAAGGTCGCACCGTTGAAAAGATTAACAATTCCAAGGCTTGAGCTCTTAGCAGCTGTATTACTCGTAAAATTGATGAAATCTATTCTTATGACATTCAATAAACCTAATTTGCCAATATTCGCATGGACAGACTCAAAGGTCACTAGCATATGGATTAATAATCATCCATCTCGATGGAAGGATTTTGTCCATAATCGAGTATGCTTCATTCAGGACACTGCCACAGTGCAAATGGGGATTAGTTTCAGGTCTGGAAAACCCAGCTGATTTGGCAACACGAGGGATTTCTCCCGCTCAATTGAATGACAGTTCTATGTGGTGGAGTGGTCCAAAATGGTTATCGGAAGACAGGTCAGCTTGGCCAAAGGATTCATCATCGGTCGTAACTGAAAATCTCGAAGAAAGAGAAACCAAAGTGCGTTCTTGTGTAACAACGAAAATTATGGAAATTTGGAATCTTGTATCAAGATATTCGAGTCTTACTAAATTACTTCGAATTACGGCCTTATGTAGAAAATTCATTCGTAAGACGCGTAAGAATACCAACGCTACGGTCAATTCTCTCCTTTCAATTGATGACATAAATAATGAAAAATACTTTTGGGTAAAGAATGTACAACATTATTCGTTTTCAGCAGAATTAAAGACTCTTGCTCAGGGACAATCTCTCTCTAAATCAAATTCATTGATCCGTCTTACGCCATACGTCGATTCTGATGGATTACTACGAGTAGGTGGACGACTTCAACATGCGTTAGTATCGAATGGTTCAAAACATCCATTAATCTTACCCAAAGATTCCTCATTTACTACATTGGTTATAAATGACGCACATTTTCGAACTCTTCACGGAGGAGTGCAAGTTACATTATCCTACATTCGCGAAACATATTGGATCTTAAACGGTCGATTAGCAGTTAAATCTTTCATTCATAAGTGTATCAAATGCACTCGCTTTCGTCAAAAGCGAGCTCAGCAAATTATGGGTCAGCTACCTATAAATAGATTTGTCCCATCACGTTCGTTTTTGCATTCAGGCGTAGACTATGCAGGGCCTTTTACCATTAAAACGTGGAAAGGAAAGAACGCTAAGACATACAAAGGATACATAGCATTGTTTGTTTGTTTCGCAACATCTGCACTGCATTTAGAACTCGTTACCGACTATACAGCTGAAGCATTCATTGCAGCTTATCGACGATTTACAGCTAGACGAGGGATTTGTGCAACACTCACAAGTGATTGTGGTACCAATTTTATTGGAGCAGATAAAGAGCTCACACGATTATTTTCAGCTGCGTCCCAAGAATCTGAACAGATCTCTTCTCTTTTGCTAAATGAAGGTACACAGTGGAAGTTCAACCCTCCTTCCTCACCTCACTTCGGAGGTAAATGGGAGGCAGGAGTAAAATCCGTCAAATATCATCTTAAACGCACTATTGGGGATACGTTGTTGACCTACGAAGAATTTAGTACTATTCTGGCTCAAATTGAAGCTATTTTGAATTCTCGTCCTTTGTGTGGATTATCCGACGATCCAGAGGATCTGACTGTTCTCACTCCAGGGCATTTTCTGATAGGACAAGCACTTGCAACCATCCCTGAGCCTTCGCTAACTCATCTCCCGGTCACTCATCTAGGTAGATGGCAATTATTGCAGCAAAAACTTCAATCGTTTTGGTCACACTGGTCCAAGGACTATCTTCAGCGACAGCTTTCAATTTACAAATGGAACAAAGTTAATGCTGATATTGCGGTGGGTTCTATTGTCTTAGTTGTAGATGAGAGATATCCACCTTCAAAATGGCCCTTGGGAAGAGTCACTGAAATACATGCAGGACCTGACGGTCACATTAGAGTAGTCACCGTTAAAACTCAATTTTCTGAATGTAAACGACCTATTGTAAAGATATGTCCGTTAGAAGTTGAATCTACTCAGTAATTAATTTTCGTC